AATTCCGAAACTTCCCTAAACCCGAAGCCTCAGCCCCTCTCAAGCCAGTTTCAGCCTTTGGTCACGAGGGTCTGGAAGGCCATAAGCGCCTGAGGGCGTCAGCTCAGTGCGCTCATCGGGTCGGCAGGAGGCTGGGCACTTTTTTAGGGTTTAGGGTTTAGGGGTTTAATGGTTTAGGGGTTTAGGGGTTTAGGGTTTAGGGTTTAGGGTTTAGGGCTTTAGGGGTTTAGGGGGTTTGGGGCTTAGGAGGTTTAGGGTTTAGGGCCGTTTAGGGGCCTAGGGCGTAAAGAGTGTAGGATAGACTGGGTACCTTGGGAATGAGGATCCATGGGCGTAGGAATTAACTGCCTACGGTGCGGAAACTCTCAAGTTCAGGGTGTGGAGGTTCTAGACTTCAGGACTGGTGGTTGCGGATTTAGGATTCGGGGAGAAAAGCGGCATAAAGGATCCACCTATTCGAGTTCTCATCATTTACCATCACCATCTACAGGACTTGGGGCCATGTGCAGCAGGACGTCTTCCCTGGCAACCCACCTTACAGACTGGCTTTGTAGCTTTAGGGTGCGGGCCTCGAGCTGTCATGCTTAACTTTAAGCTTGAAAATGATAGTTGGGGCTAAAGCCTAAACCCTAACGAAGAGCTTTCGGGCTAGTGCTGCAAGGACTCCGTGGCCGAATCGTTGATAGTAGTGACGCCCGGAGTACAAACGTCCTTCACGCAGTGGGAGTCGGTCACAAGAGTGTTACTGGACGTTCTTGGCTTAGGGCTTTATGGATGTAGGGTTCTAAATGGTTTCTCTAAATCCTAAACCCTAAACCCAAAAGTTTCCGATCACCCTTCTGCCAGGGGTTTCGCTTTCCAGGTTCGAGTCGAGGATTTTGGGGATTTGGGATGCGCGGCTTCGGACTTCGGAGCTGGGACCTATGGGAGCCAGGATGTGGGCTCCACGATTTGTTGGGTTTAGGGTTTAGGGTTGAAGGCATAAGTTCGGCTCCGCAAAAATTCGAGAACCCTCAGCACCCTTGACCTCCGCATTTCCCAGAAAGCTTAGGGAACGCAAGTTCGTGACAGGTGAATAAATTAGAGTGTAGTGACAGGTTTGCAAATGTCTGAGGTTCTACGATTCAATCCATTTAAACACAAGAGCAGCTGCCTGCGGTGCAGGTACAATCTCAAAAGCACTCTTCCAGCCCAACACCCTGGCCCCGCCTACAGAGCCACTATCTACAGAATTTGTCATTAGGAGCCCCTAAATCCGTAATTCCCCAAACCAGAAGGCCTCGTAAGTACAGATAACTTCCCCCTGTAGTCACTGCAGGTTGTATTGACTTTAAGCCCAAGCTTGCCTGCGCCAGTTTGGTGCCCAGCAGGCCCTGACACGAACATGCCACATCGATCCAGGGGCAAAGCCCTGGCTAATATGCGGGGGGCTCTAACAAGTAGCACAGAGCGTTTAGGGATGAGGGTTTATTAGGGTTTAGTATACTTACAATATAGATTCTTCAAGCCCCGATACTACAGCAACGAAGCACCGTAGTACCTTGACAACGGGAAATGACCAAGCCGAGAGGTATATCCACCTTTTCGGGAATAACCGCTAAAACAGCTACTGGTAAGAACTGCCAGGCGGTAGTATCTTGGATGCGTAATGTGATTGTTGGAAGGCATCTCTGCCCTGCTCTTGCTGGATCACGGGGCGATGCTCCACTTTTGAGCGGCTTTTCGCGATTGTCTTGGCTCAACAGCAAGCTATCGACCTAGGGCTTGGACATCCTGGACTCGAAGGATTAGCAACAGTGGCCGAAACCGAGTCTCATGGCTCATCATCTCCCTGAAAAACTAGACGCGGCCGACGTCCCTGCGAACTGGAAGCCCTATCGTCCTACATCGCACCCCACATTCTACACGTTACAGTAGCTGGTTCATGAATTGAGAAGGGGGGGCCGGGTTAACTAGCAACAGGATCTGGGGTATAATGATACATGGACTCTCACGGGACATTGTGACAAATAAAGTCAGTGTATCCTTGACCTGCCTCGAGTTCAGAGAGCTTGCTGTTCATGAAAGCGATGATCGTGGAGTGCGTAATAATGCTCAGCGGCTTGCCTTAGCTGAGATGTGGAGTCAGAGCCAAGCCAGGCAAAAAAAAAGGCATGCTGCAGCCTCAAGGGCTTGGGAACTATCGTTTTCACAGAAGAAAAAGGGGACACCCTCGGAAAGTGCAACACTTTTGTGCTTTGCTGGTTAAAGTAGGTTGAACACACGAAGCCCCAACCCCTGCAACTCCACCCGGCCGAACACAGTTAGCAGCAGAGTTTCCATCTTCCAGGACCAGCGCCCGCCGATGGTTGCCGGAGATGTTGTCAACCACCTGCTGGAAACATCAAGCCAACAACACACTTAGGGTTTAGGGCCATAGCGAAACATACAACATACCATGTCAAATTGTGTTTACATGTCTCGGTACATCAGACAGCCTAGGCCAACAACTCAAAACCTAACCTACTTATCAACACTGGACGACAACAAGACTTCTCGTTCAGACACTGGGCCCTCATCCAAACCCTACTCGCTATTCACACTGCCTGGGACTCTGACAACAAATCTCATTGAGGCGTAAAACATACATCTCTTGGCTGTTAGAAGCTGTAACTTTGCAACCCCTAAGCCCTAAGCCTGAGTTCGAACCCCCAAATCCCTCAGCTTTTTTCCTCGCACTTCTCGTTACAACAAGCCCTGAATCCCTGAGCCCTGAATCCTAAATCGCTTTGTACCTTCAAGAAGACCTCTCAGTCAGTTTAGGGCAGGGTTACTATACCCTAAACCCGAAACCCTAAAATCTGTAAGCCCTAATCCCTATAAACCCTGTAAACCCTATAAGCCCTATAAACCCTATAAACCCTATAAACCCTAAACCCTATAAGCCCTAAGTACTATTGCACGAGTCCCGGGCCTGTTTCAGATCCTGGTCAAGCTCCACGGTGCACAAGCTCTTATCCGCGCGGGGCGACCCGCGTCCTGAGGCGACGAGGTGCTGATTTCACAGGGTTTCGAGTTGACTGCGACATCCCGTGCATTGTTTCTCTAGGTCGCCTGTAGGGGCTCGACTCTAAGGGAGGTATGTCCGTTAGTTCTACAGTCTGTAAGGGCTACGTCTCAGGGAAATTCGCAGAGTCCAGGGAGTTCAGGAGATCCTGCAGTACCGAGATAGATTTTGGAACTTGGAATCTTATCCGTAGCGAATCCAAAAATATATATATATATATATATATATATAGCACCTGTTATAAGGAAGGCTCTAGAAGGAAATCATAAGGAGGAAGCCAAAACAGGTCTTGCGGCTAGATGTAGAGGGTTTATCTTGAGGGCCTTCCATGATCCGCAGCTCAGAGCATCTCACCGTAAACCCTAAACCCTAAACCCTAAACCCTTTTGCATCCAGGACTCTTGCAAGCAGCCGGGAAACTCCACAAACCCTAAACCCTAAATCCTAAATCCTAAACCCTAAACCCTGAACCCTAAATCCTAAGCCGTGTTTTACGTGCCTGCCATACAGATTGCAGCATCGGGCTCGCTGGCTCCGGGAACTGAGTTTTTCGTGGTAACCATCTCCGTAGGGTTTAGGGTCTACTGTTTAGGATTCAGGGTTTAGGGATTCAGGCTTAGGGTTTAGGGTTTAGGGTGTAGGGAAGGATCCTACCACCGTGAAGTCCTCGTCTACCCAAGCAAGACCCTACCATTACATGTGAGTCTTACTCGAGTTTAAACGAGGCACATCTGACTCCTACGGGAAGACCGAGACACACCCGGCCTAAGACTCCGACCCCAAGACGCAACACTTCATGTAGCAGGGTTTAGGGTTTAGGGTCTCATACTCAACCCTAAACCCTAAACCCTAAACCCCGAAGCCAAAGCAGCATACTAAACCCTAAACCCTAAATCCCAAGCCCTAAACCCCGAAGCCAAAGCAGCATCCAACTTAGCCAGGCGGCCCATCACCTTCTCCAGCTTCTCGTTGGGAAGCCTAAGGTTTAGGGTTTAGGGTTTAGGGTTCTGGGGTTTGGGGTTTAGGGTTTAGAGTTTAGGGTTTAGGGTCTAGGGTTTGGGGTTTAGGGTTCTGGGTTTGGGGTTTAGGGGGACTTAGGGCTTTAGAGTGTAGGGGCCTAAGGTTGAGGTGTGATGGCGGGTTTAGTCTTAGTCTCCCTTAGAACCAGCACAAAAGATAACGTTCTTATTAGTTTAAGCCCCTGGGGCTATATTTTTTAAGGCAAAGAGAACATAATTCCTAAGAGCAGTAAAGTAATGTAGAGGACTTCACTGTGACACAGTTTGATTGATACAGGTACTGACAAGGGGACCGTGAGGGTTCTATGTTCTACATGGCCACCATTCTCTAAGGGCGAAGATTAGCTGCGATAGGGCGCGATTAGTTGTGATAGGGCGTGGGGGCAGGTTATGCATTAATTAAATTGCAGACACATACAACTCATTCAACTGTATACATATATATATATATATATATACATACATACATACATACATACATACATACATACCTACATACATACATACATACATACATACATACATATATTTCTGTATGTAGGTATATAGAGACATGACCATACACCAGAACCGTCGTCAAAGTATAGCGGGCCCAGAGTGAGGGAGTATTAGCATCTCCAGGCATGTGCAGACTTGTACATTTTCCCTCGGCCCTGAACCTGTCACCTGGGATTCAGACCCAAGCCAGGGGTGCTTTCAGGTGCGCGGTTGTCGGCCACGGGTTCAAGGTTGCTTAAGTTATGAAAAAAGAACCAAAGTTATGAAATAGCGATTTACATCGCAAGTATGCCCATGGAGGGCTACTGTAGAATACCTTAATAAGTGCCGCAGCGGTGCTTTTTCTTGCCTGCTGCCTCCATTTCAACCACGTGGGCGGCGATGTCCAAAGTGTCCAACATGCCTACGAGCTTGCCTTAGCTGCAGGAAACTCGGGTTCGGTATTCCTACAACCCTACGCCCCAAAACCCTAAAACCCTAGAAAATCGAACACCCTGTAACCTAAAAAAATAAACCCTGAAGCCCTCACCCGGAACCAGAAAGACCCAGGGGTTTCAGACCCAATTCGGCGTGGGCATTTTGCTTTCCAGATTCGGATCCAGGAGTTGTTTGACGGATCCTTGCGAGTTCTAAACGCTTAGAGCCCAAAAGCCCAACCTAAGCACTAGACTCGACCCTAAAACCCAAAAGCCCAAAAGCCCCGAAACCGAAAACCCTGAAGAGCAAAAGCCCAAAGCCCTAAGCACTAGAACCTAAAAGCCCCATCACACGCCCGAACCTCCCCGGCACCCCAAGCCCAGCCCTCAGGAGCCCAGAACTCTTTCATGGCGGAATATTCCTTGACTTAGAAGACGGCCAAATACTATCATTTTAGGCACAGTTCATCATATGTTTAGTCTACATTCGGGGTTTTTAGGCTCTCGGAAAGACAAACAAACACATGAACCCTTGTCAAGCTCTTTAAACCTTCTGCAGAGTCCTTCTATCATAAACACAAACCTATTGAAACCCATGCATAGCTTGTGTAACCCACCCGCAAAACAACCTTCACCCTAAACCCTAAACCCTAAACCCTTTTTGCAGCAGGCTTCTCTCGCCCGGAACTGCCGACCCTAAACCCTAAACTCTATACTAAACCCTAAACCCTAAACCCTAAACCGTTCAACGCACACCACCGTGTCCAGGCGCCGCTGGAGTCCACCACGGGGGCGGAGAGCAAGTGATGCTCGGTCAAGGCCTGGATCGCCTCAGGCCATGCTTCTCCCTATTAGGGTTTAGGGTTTAGGGTTTAGGGTTTACACTCGCACAACTCGGAGAAGCCAGGCGAGGATGCATAGGTGCACAAGTCGGCGTGACACTTCAAGCTGCCTATGCCTAGGGTTTAGGGTTTAGGGTTTAGGGTTTAGGGTTTAGGGTTTAGGGATAACCCTCCAGGTACCTACTATGTAGGGCCTTGGGGGCTCTAGTACTTTTTATAGTAAGTACTTGGGGGGTTAGGCTTCTTGCTTGGGGTTTAAGTGGTCTAAGTTGTGTCTGTGTGTCTGTTTCGGGTAGTTAGTTCTATGGCCGAGACTACGCGTTCATACAGTTCTATAGCGGTATGTTGTAACGGCCGTATAAAGGATGCTATAGCAATTTTATGCGGAGTCTGTCAGGGTCTATAGGTGCAAGGCCTCCATGGCTTCTGGCCACACCACATTCAAGGGTTGTATATTTTATAGTTTTTGTTTATAAGAGTCCTTCAATATGAGGGTAGTTTAAGGTACCGCGCCTCTGGCAGGGTCCAAGCACTTTGAAAAAAAACAAACCAAAGCTGGTGTAGGGATGTGTAGGGCTGAGAGTACAAGCTTTTGGGCGAATTATAAGCTTGTACTGGGAGTGTATACAGGGTGTTAAGAGCATAGTTGGTCTTATGGCTGATTCTCACATTGGCCCTTCATTGCAAAGCCCGCGCAAGTTGTCTAGCTCTGCTGGTTTCTGAACCCGAGGTCTCAGTCACGGAGCCCTTCCCGTTCGGACGGGCGAATCGGAAAGGAAGCCTCGCAAATTCTAGGATATGCGGTTTAGGTTTCGCAAAAAATCTCAACACAAAAAGTCCAGGAGGTGAGGTCTCAAGCGAAACCAGTTTCAGCCAAGCCGCGCTGTACAAACCATCGCTTGACTGCTGCAACCTTCTGGCATCGTTTCAGGGTTTCTGGTTTATAGGTTAGGATTTTCAACTGGCAACAACGTCACTGGCACTTTGACTGACTTCCACGTGTGTGTGTCCTTGATTAGAGCCCTAGGAGATCATTAGCTTCTGCACAGTTGCTTGCCTGCCTGGCGCTCCTCTAAGCATATGCTTCATAACTTGTAAGTCTGTGCTTAGGACGACTGTTGGGACTGCTGCGAATTAATGCTAACGTCTGTTGCTGCCCAGTGTAGAGACACAAAGTCTCCACGAGACGCGCGGTGCGAAAGTTCTCCGCTACGTCCTGCACACATCCTTCCATAACCTCGAGTCTCCAAACCCAAAGCCTATAAACCATGAACCCCGGGCCCTACACCCAAACCCCTAAACTCCAAACCCAAAACCTTTCACCTTTGCTTTCCCGAAGCTTTTAGCCGAAACCCAAAAGCCTAAAGCCTAAATCCTAAACTTTGTAACTTACGTAAATCCCTTTCAGGCCCCGGGGCGTGACGAGCGACTTCGGAAGTGGCAGGTCTTTCACCTGCAGGGCCGGGAAAAAAGAGTTCATACTGAACCCTAAAGCCGAAACCCTAACTTTGAAGCCCTAAATCCTAACTCTTAATTAAACCCGAAAGGTTTCCCAGCGTGTCCCATCGTGTCCATATGTGCTACGTTACGCAACATTCTGGAACTAGGTCCCAAAAGACCATCCTTAGCATTGTTTTTTGGGGGACCTCATTCCACAACAATAATATTCATGGACCCTCTTGGGTTTAGGATTCAACAGCTTAGGGTGCCGACGTCCTGGGGTTGACCCTTGGGCAAATGATGTGTAGAGCTTCAGAGATGTAGGGAAGATAGGGCTGAACATCTAAAGTTTGGGTTGGGGGTCTCTTGCTTCGGGTAGCCTATAGGGTCTCTTTGGTGGAGTAAGATTGTGAGTTCCAGCCCAATGCGCCTCCACTCCACATGAACCAAAGTTGTATGAACCGCCCTAAGACCCCTCCACCACACCCCCTCCCAAGCCCTGAAACCCCCGGCCTTGTATTTCTTCAGGAATTCCGTGAGATCCATGGCGCTAATCGGAGCAGCCACCGTTTTAACCAAGTTTCTATCCGAGCCAGAAAAAACGTGGCACCAGCGGATTATTGCTCTGGACGGCCTGCTGAACGGATCAAGGGGCTTCAATCAAGGAAACTACACGTCTAGCTACTTCAACCCGAATTATGGTATGGATGACCACAATGGCAACGATGTTGAGGAGGATACAGTACTCATACTCTTATTCTTGCGAAGGCTAGTACCGGCCATGTGGGATTTGTTGTTGGATGTCGCATTCTTATAACCCTGCAGCTCTTGTGGCGTCGAGATATTTCTAAGGACACCAGTGGTCCCAGCGAGAGCTCTGAACTTTTCGGGTCTGAAAGGAAAGGCTTTGTTTGAATCCCCATAGACCCCCAAGCCTACCAAATCTAGAGGTCCGAAGTATGAAAACTTTGTGTTGCAGACTGCAGCGAAGGCAATGATTACAGCAAGAAGGTGAACGGGAATGTTCGATCAAAGGTGCGCCGTCTGATTCGCAAGGCTTGATCTACAGCAATTAAAAGCCTAGCCGCCTATTGGTTAAGCTACCATCTACTGCTTCGTAATGTACGGACTCTGACCTACCACACTTTCTGCCGCCTACACCAAACTGCTGCCAACCCAAACCCAGCGAACTTGCTTCACTGCTTTCACCCCAACGCCCTAAGACCCAAAAATCGCCAAAATGGAGCGTGCGACATACATGACCCAATAATTGGAATAATTGGAATCAGGCTTTAGGTTAACCATAACACGACTGCACCGTAGGGGCTGTATGGTTTGAAAAAACAACTGAATTCATATCTCTAAACCGCACAACGTGAACCCATATTGTAGGGGCCTTAATAATTAGAATAGGGTTTTGGGGCCCATCATACTATAGTTATAATGAGGAACTGAACCACAAACTAGTATCGGTAATAATTTAGGCCCCGATAATAATTTAGGCCCCGATATTACCTCTGGCTTGGGCGCCTGGCTCTCAGAGCTGCAAAGATTCTTGAACAAGGATTATTGAACAAACCGGATTGCTTTTGGGATGAAACGTAGCCATCAGTAGTATGACCTCGGCGACCCTGCCATTATAGGATACTAGTATCACAAGAATTCGCGAGGACTATCGAAACCCTGACTATAATTATGCCTGAATCCCGAGCCGTAACATCTTCCCCCAGTAAGCCTCGAACCGAAGTCTGAACAATCAGGACGCACGGCTTGCGGTTTCAGGCTTAAGGTTTGGGTTTCTTGGCTTTGGGGACTCTGCGCATGGGCTTCGCAGTAGGCAGCTCAACATCTTCTATTGGAGCCGAGCAGCTCGATCCGTGGCCGATTTCCGGAAGAAGCCCACCTCAAAGACAAAAGGCTCTACTTCAAGGGTCAGGAGACGTAGTGTGGGCCCTCAAGGAACAGGACAAGGGCTTCTCTACTTTGCTTGTATTTCAATGCTCTGCCGTTTGCAATCGTTTCAAGAGGGCTGCACAACTGCTACTAGAATATTCTTGTTTCAACAGTTGTGCAAGCCATTCTCTGAAATTCATGAATCGACACGCTATAGTAAATATGTTTCGGGATTGTGGAACATAAAACTCCCGGTTATTCATCCTCTGACCATTGGCCTCTCGGGCTTGGGTTCCGAGCACCGGAGTTATGTCAGCTTGCTGCAACACCGAGTCAGAGAAGACGCGGCCGTCAGCTAGTCAAAGATAGTATGCATGCACGCGACATGGGTTTTATGTATGACCAAGCGCAACGCTCACGGGGATCCGAGCGTGGAACTGTTGAACTAAGTGCAGGTGTTTACAGGGATTATATGGCTCAGAATGGCGATGATTGCAATGCAAGTTGTGGCGGACAGGCAGAATGTGTCTAGCACATAGGCTTCATGTAAAACTAGACTTAGGCTTGCAGGCTTACCTAGACTGGACCAGCACTTGTAGTTCGTGTGTTTGGTTATGTTGGTTCCTTGTCTTAAGATCCTGACAATCAATGGAGGAACAATCAAGGAACGAAGTTGGACAGTATGTAAGAATCTAAGTCCTGAAACACCCAGAACTGTAGCCCATGTTACTTGACATTGACGCCACCCAAACGCTCTCAATAATTGGAATAGGGTCGCTGGATCTATCATGGTAGAAATACAGTACCGAT